GCCGTCGAGCGCAAGCTTGTCGATGATGATCTGAAGGTCCTCGTGGCCCTAGGGGGCCTTGCAAACGCTGCGCCTCCAAGACAGCAGCGAACTCATCATCGTCCTCAGGTGAAGCACTGCCCGTTCGCTGTCTGCAAGGGGCCAGTTCATCGAGTGGTCACGTAAACGCTTGTCGAACTGCTTGTGGAGCTTCTTCTGGCGCGGGATCCCCCCAGACGTCCTGTCGACGATGGCGTTGGTGAGGCTGTGGTTCTTCTTCGCCACGTGCTTCTGGGAAATGAGGCCATGCTTGGAGATTCTGTCCAAGCGCCGCAACTTGGTAGGCTGACATGTCGCCGTGGGCACGTGGCCCGAAACATCTCATCGCGCATGTCGTCCGAGAGGTCGGCCCCCTTGGTGCGTGGAGCCTTCGCCGTGCTTGCTTGAGCCCGGACAAACTATGACTTCACGGGTTTGTGCGGTGATAGTGGCGTTGCGCTCGCGGGGTCAAGCGCCGCGCGCCAGGGCCACCGCGCCAACGCCGCGCCACCATCACCACTACAGAACAACCATACCACCAACACGACGCAACGCCAACATTTTGGCGTGGTTGTCGCGTGGCGGCGGTGTGGTCGTGCATTGTGGCGTTGGTGGTGCGGTGGTTATGTGATGATGAGAAGCCTTAGTGGTGTGGTGGTGTGGTGCGTTTCCAGGGTGGTGCTGCGGCTGTAATGTGGTATATTTATTTTGTGTTGGGGTGTTGTGGCGATCAATGACGCTGCGTATCCCCCTAAGAAGTCACAATGAAATCCCGAAGAAATCCCCTGCACCGCTTATCTGAAAACCCTGAGAAGGACATGGAAGATACGGCCTGCTCGACATCTTTAAACCCTCGTTTTGAATAGAGCCTTGCGGTGCTCAATATGTCAGGCTTGCTTTTTGATGATATTTGATGTTTTGAAGGGCGGACCAAAATACTTATTCTACATCTGCCTTCTATTTCTGCCTCGATGCATGCTATATTTAAATTCCTAGAGGTTGTTATGGATTCGAAAGGTCCTGAACGTTTGGGTGCCGAGGTGCCCAGGTGCCCGGGTGCCCGGTAACCCTATGGCTGTATTGCCATGGTAGCCCTATAGCCTTAAAGCCTACCCCTATAGCCTAGCCCTATAACCCTATAGCCAAATTGCCCAATAACCTTATAACCCTATGACCCGCTAAACCTGTAGCGCTTTAGCCTTATAGCCTCCGATGCTCCAAGATAGCCTCCAAAGCGGCTCACGATAATCTAAGACATTTCAATCTAGCTTCTGGCATACCTCCAAGAGGCCCGACAAGGGCCGCAAGACGGTTCCAAGTGCTCTCGTAGCCCCCTCAGGAACCCCCCGAGAGGCCCAAATCCTTCAAACACTCGAGGGAAAACAATGCGCCTTTGAAACCTCAAAGCCTTGAGGCCTCATAACGGCGCCAGAGAGGCCGCAAATCAACTGAGGGTAAAAGGCTCCAAGCCTTTTCGCTTCCGATGCGCCTTTGAGGCCTCGAAACGGCCCAAGAGAGGCCCAATGGGGCCCCCCGGCCCAGCCCCAAGAGCGCCCGAGAGCGGCCCAAAAACGTC